GAGGAGAAGAAGGAAAGGAAGGAAAGAAAGGAAAGGAAGGAAGAAGAGGAAAGGGAGGAGAGGAGGAAGGGGAGGAGAAGGAAAGGAGGAGAAGAAGGAAAGGGAGGAGAAGAAGGAAAGGGAGAAGAAGGAAAGGAAGGAGAAAAAGGAGGAGTTCTGAGGGCGCAGAAGGACGCCACGTGACGCCCAGAGGGGGAGGGAACGGGGAGGGGGAGGAGGGGGAGGAGAAGAGGAAAGGGAGGAGAAGAAGGAGAGGAAGGAGAAGAAGGAAAGGGAGGAGAAAAGGAAAGGAAGGGAAGAAGAAAGGAAGGAGGAAGGAAAGGGAGAGGAGGAGGAAGGGGAGGAGAAGGAGGAAAGGGAGGAGAAGAAGGAAGGGAGGGAAGAAGAAGGAAAGGAAGGAGAAGAAGGAAAGGAGGAGGAGAAAAGGAGGAGTTCTGAGGGGCGCAAGAAGGGACGCCACGTGACGCCCAGGAGGGGGAGGGGAACGGGGAGGGGAGGAGGGGAGGAGAAGAAGGAAAGGGAGGAGAAGAAGGAGAGGAAGGAGAAGAAGGAAAGGGAGGAGAAGAAGGAAAGAAGGAGAAGAAGAAAGAGGAGAAGAAGGAAAGGGGGAGGGAGGAGGAAGGGGAGGAGAAGGAGGAAAGGGAGGAGAAGAAGGAAAGGAGGAGAAGGAGGAAAGAAGGAGAAGGAAAGGAAGGAGAAAAAGGAGGAGTTCTGAGGGCGCAGAAGACGCCACGTGACGCCCAGGAGGGGGAGGGGAACGGGGAGGGGGAGGGAGGGGGAGGAGAAGAAGGAAATGGAGAGAGGAGAAGAAGGAGAGGAAGGAGAAAGAAGCGAAGGGAGAAGAAGGAAAGGAAGAGAAGAAGGAAAGGAGGAGAAGAGGAAAGGGAGGAGGAGGAGGAAGGGGAGGGAGAAGGAGGAAAGGGAGGAGAAGAAGGAAAGGAGGAGAAGAAGGAAAGGAAGGAGAAGGAAAGGAAGGAGAAAAAAGGAGGAGTTCTAGGGCGCAGAAGACGCCACGTGACGCCAGGAGGCGGAGGGGAACGGGAGGGGGAGGGAGGGGGAGGAGAGAAGGAAAGGGAGGAGAGAAGGAGAGGAAGGAGAAGAAGGAAGGGAGGAGAAGAAGGAAGGAAGGAGAGAAGGAAGGAAGGAGAAGAAGGAAGGAGGAGGAGGAGGAAGGGGAGGGAAGGAGGAAAGGGAGGAGAAGAAGGAAGAAGGGAGAAGGAAGGAAAAAAGGAAAGGAAAGGAAGGAGAAAAAGGAGGGAGTTCTGAGGGCGCAGAAGGACGCCACGTGACGCCAGGAGGGGAGAGGGGGAGGAGGAGAGGCGGCAGGAGGGGGAGAAGAGCAAGGAAGGGGAGGAGGGGAGGGCAGGGAGGGAGAAAAGGAAAGGAGGAGGAAGGAGGAAAGGAGGAAGGAAGGAGAGAAGGAAAGGAAGGAGCAAGAAAGGAAGGAGAAAAAGGAGGAGTTCTGAGGGCGCAGAAGGACGCACGTGACGCCCAGCGAGGGAGAGGGAGGGGGAGGAGCTGGAGTGGCAGGAGGGGAGGAGAAGAAGGAAGGGAAGGAGGGGGAGGAGAGGAGGAGAAGAAGGAAAGGAGGAGAAGAAGGAAAGGAGGAGAAAGAGGAGGAAGGGAGGAGGAAGAAGGAAAGGAAGGAGAAGAAGGAAAGGAAGGAGGAGATGGAAGGGAGGAGAGAAGGAAGGGGAAAAGAGGAAAGAGGAGAAGAAGGAAAGGGAGAGAAGAAGGAAGGGGGAGGAGAAGAAGGAAAGGAGGGAGAAAAAGGGAGGAGAAGAAGGAAAGGGAGGAGGCGAAGAAGGAGTGAGAGGAGGAAAGAAGGAAAGAAGGGAAAGGAAGAGGAAAGGAAGGAGAAAAAGGAGGAGCTTCTGAGGGCGCAGAAGGCGGAGCAGCCGCGGCGGACCCACGTGACGCCCAGGAGGGGAGGGGGACGGGAGGAGGGGGAGGAGGAGAAGGAAAGGAAGGAGAGAAGAAGAAGAAAAAGAGGGAGGAGAGAAGAAAGGAGAAAGAGAAGATAAAGAAGAGGAGGAGGAGCAGGAAAGGAGGAATTGAGGTGGAAGAGAAGGAGGAGGAGGAGAAGGAGGTGGAGAAGGAGAGAGGAGGAGGAGGAGGAGGAGGAAGAGAAGAAGAAGGAAAAGAAGAAGAATAGAGAAGAAGAAGTAGGAGGAGAGAAATAAAAGGAGGAGTAAGAAGTAGAGGAAAAATAGGAGAAAAGGAGGTTATGAGAAAATACGTGAAAGTGGGAGAGCCAGGCGAATGGGAAGCAGAAACTGAGAGACAAGAAGAGGGAGACCAAGAGAGAATGAGAAATAGAAAGATAAATAGATTAAGAGAGAGAATAAGAGAAATAGACAGAGAGAGAGACATCGAGTCTCTCCTAGTAACAAAACACTAGGTTACACAGTAATACCAATTAATTACATTAATATATCCAATAAATAATATACTACCATAGAAGGCGCACTTAGCAAGAGTACCATGAATAAATAAATAAACATACAAAACACGCACCACACAAAGGCAGTCTCTCTATATATAAATACAATCCTTATATTGGGCAAAAAAAAAAATCATCCCTTTCCAAATAAGAAAACCGCTTCCATTTTTGCTTATCTGACGCGACGCAAAACCTCTAATTATCGAGGAAACGAAATTAATCTCTGGAAAACACCACGCGCCAAAACGACATGGCGGCTGCACGGCGATTTTTGGCGGGAAAACGCAGCCACTCCTGACGTATTTCTTATCGTTTATTATCTATTTTCTTTCTTCCGGGGGGGCGGGGGGGAGGCAGCTGACAGGAAAATTTTTACCGAGAATAGGAGTCGCTCGTAGGATTTCCTATTTCGCCTACACGCTTTCAAATAATGTTTTGAGAAAAATAAAGGACAGTTTTAAGAGAACAAAGATTTCCTGGAGGGAGATGGCGCCACCTGAAGTCGCATTTTATTTTTTATTTTTTTCTATCCATATTTTTGCAGCATTAAGATGCCGAGATATGACATACATTGGCGGAAAATATAACCCAAATTGTTCAATCTCAAAACGAGGGGAAATGAGGGAATAAATAACAATTACTCGCCTTTTAGAAGAGTCCACTTGACAGGCAAAAAAACACTGGAATTCAAAATCAAAATCCTATCGTTCTTTATTCAAAAAAAAAAT